CCTCTATATTTGCGAAAGCAATGAAAAATTTGGTTTAGAGTTTAGATTTTAATTTACTAAACAATGCCGGCGGTCGATGATACAGACATCAAAGTCTGGATTCCAAAACCGTTGACCATATTAAGCCTTTTAATTCATATTATACTAGAGTGCCAGTTATTCAACAAATTTCAGGGCAGAATTTTAGGGGCTTCCTGTACTCCCAGAACTGGGGTTAGCGCACTACGCAGTGTATATAATTCCTTTCCTACTTAAGGCACGCTGCCTCACCATACATCCATAGATTTGGATCATTTTTATAATAGCGTCGGACAACCAAACTACAAATGAGTCCAAAATATTGAGCACAGACATGTGCTATTGTCATAAATCCATCAATTGCAAATGAAAAATCTCAAAGTTGCTCATATGCTTTTATTGCACTGGGATTTCGTCGACATTTCGTATCACAAGAATTTTTAATTTCCGTTTTAGCTTGTTACAAATATTTACATATCTACATATATGCTACCAAATTTAGCTATAAAAAAACGAGCATCAATGCCACGAAAAATACAAAAAGTAATTTTTGCAAATAAAAGGTGTACAGTGGCTGCATATATTTGCATTTGGTTTTTGTTTTTGCCACAATGCACCAAACTATGCCAATATGTACATATGTACATTTGTATGTATACACAGACGCGTGATGAAAAGAAGTTGGCCCATTTACGATTTATTGCTGTTGTGGTCTGGTTCTAACCGTTGTTGTTGCTTCTCGCATTTTCTTGATGATTGCGCACAGGCAAATTGCTATCGTAGCAAAACAAAAAAAAAAAACAACAATAAATACTAGCTAGCGAATAAACAAGCGGATGAGCTAGTCAATAGCACGCGCCAGCTGGCAAGGGGAAATGCATTTCTGGAGTGCATCCGCGCAAAATTGGGCCAATCGTATTAATGTATCTGTTCCGTATGGCACCAAAAAATATTTGATGTACAAAAAATTAGATACAAAGTATGCAAAAAGTATATACATATAGATATACATATGTACTTTCGCATAAAATACATAGTACAGCTGTAACGAGCTGTGTGTGAACAAGGCGTGAGAGCGCCAGCAAACAATGTATTCCAATTAAGCCATTGCCGATCTAGAGGCGCATTACAAACATATTTACATGTAGTAAACCATTATTTTTTGGCAACTTGCCTAGAAATTTCACAGATGTTGCTCATAGCGAAAATTTCTTGGAGCTTAGTGGTCTTTAGCTGACAGCTGCTTTGCCACTAAATCTATTACAGATGTATGTGTACATATGTAAAGTGTATGTGGTTTTGATTGCCTGCTGGAGATCATCAGCTGCATCTTCTGGAAATTGATAAATTTATTGACTTCAAAGTATTTCAAGCAAAATTGAGTGAGCTGAAAAATTATTTAAAAAATATTGACTACTTATTCTACAGTATTCACAAGGTCGATTGTGTCTTTGAATAGAGAAAATATATTGCTTTTAATCACTTGAATAGGACACCTCAGAGCCCATAATTTCAAACTTGCTGCTAGAATATTAAAGTAAAAATTGGTAGTTTCAGGCGGTGATGGTGATATCGATAACGACAGTGATGGCAAAAAATATAAATCTATGAATTTATCGATAATTTTATCGGTAACAGTATTGACCATTATAGCATTAACGATTTGAATAGCTTTATGAGTATTGAATTCAAGAAATTCATGTATACATGTATATTGATATAGTCAGCGTTAAAAATATGAATACCCTGAAGTTTTGAGGATTTTAGTTATTTATATTTTCGATACCACAGTTTTCTAATTTTTTTTATAAAAATATAGTTCATTCAACAGCAAAAACTGGCTGAATCAATTTTTTTAATTTCATAAAGCTTTTGGAGAGAAATTAAAGAAATACAAAAAAAAAATATTTATCAAAATTTTCAATTTTTTATTCGATTTCTTAGAAATATACAGTTTTGTAACCCATTCAATTTTAGTATAATGAGGTGCAAGTTTAGAGTCTCTAAAAATTACGGTTGATTTGTGAGAATTTTTTTTTTGTCGTGTTTGCTAATCGGCCGTCAGGCGTTCGCCCGGCCATAAGAGGTGATTGGCTTCTCTTCACCATTCTTAAAGGATCTCAATTTGCAAATCATCAGCTGTACCCGATTTTTTTTTATTGAATATAAGCGCTCGATATACGAACCAATTGAAAATTTTAGTTTAGTTTTTATACTGAAACCCCTTATGATTGCTCGTCTACGTAAATGCACATAAGTAGTTACAAATTAAAAAAATATTTTTGTGGACTTTTTATTTTATGATTTCACTAGCACTATTCTGCTTAATTGAGCTTGGAGACAATTAAACGTATTTAATATATTGCTATCGCAAATTTCTGCTTTTATTTGGCACCCAGAAAAGCTTAAGGCAAATCAATTGACTGTCTGTGTTACTTTTCAATTGGCGATAATTGGCGATGCGCTTTCATTATTGGGTGAATTATAAGTTGCATGCAATTGATCATATTTGTGTTTATTTACTTTGCGGTTTGGCATAGCGTTGCGCTAAATGGATTTATCACACGACGCAGGCAGCAAATAAAAAAAATGAAGGAACAGATATAACAGAAGAAGAGAGTTAAATGAGAACACGAGTTGTTATCGATATGCATTTAAATATGTACATACATATCTATGCATGTAGGTACATATATACATAACACACATTTTAACTGGCAGATGCGACTTAAACCTAATTGCTGCAAGTCAAGAAAAGCCAGACTTTATGACACATTTGCATTTACATTTTTATGTATAGACATGCAAATTTACATAGTTACATACTTATATCTTTATGCAAATTTATATGTATTTCTTTTCATACTAAAGCGGGTACCATAACACCAACCGGCAAATAAGCATATATGTATACAGATTATATAAATATGTATGTACATTAGGATGGTTCAAAAATGCATGTGTGAAAAGTAAAGTCAGAATTTTAATGTTCTCACCTCGGGACTGTTCTATATAAAAAAAAAAAATAATAAAAAAAAAATATTTAGAGGTCGCACGAAACGCTCATGTATTTTATATGAAAAAACAAATCCGTAGAAACGGTATAAAATTCTTGAATACAAATATTTTTCTATTGGCAACAGGGGTCTGTTTCTCTACAGGAGACTTCAAAGACTAATTCCCAATTTTTTATTAAACCATTTTTTAATACTAACGATTTTGTTATGGCTCTCCTCATCGTATTTTATGGGATTTTCGGGAGACCGATAAAAATAGTAAGTAATAAAAATGATTAAATAAACCATTTGGTTTAATTTTTAGAAGTCTCCCGTATAGAAACAGAGTTTGCGGATTGAAGAATATAGATTTTCAAGGGCTCCATACCATTTCTACGAAAAATTATTTCTTTTTTCAGCGACCTCTCAATATTTTTCCATTCAAAAAGAAAAATTAGAGTATATTTTGTCGATATACTAGAACATTCATAGGGAGTGAGAGAATTACAATACCGGCATTTCCTTCTTTGGAACACCCTAATTTACATATTTACTACGTAAAATCATTTTCATTTACGCTGGCTGAGTTTCATATGTCGACAGCCATTTATTGGTCGGCCACTCCGTTGGGGTGCTCCTCGCTTGAAAGACATCTGTTGGGTGTATTGTTCCACTGACTTAATTCTTATATTATATTGCATGCGAATATTGTTATGTTGCATTGGGCAACAATACATATGTAAATGGAAAAGCAGTGACAACAACAATTGCTGTTGCTGTCTGCAACATGCAACTCAAAAGTGTTTTATTTTCCATCCATTTCGTCTCATCTCTCTCCATTTTCCAATAGTACTCGTACTTTAAATAATCTTTTTGTCTTGAAAAATGGTATTCAGTTACGACATGAATAGCAGTGGGTACATTGCTCCCATTTTTTCCGTAGTTAAGTTGAACAGTGTTGCATGTTTTGTCGTTGTTCATATGCAAATGTTTAATTATTGTAACTGAAATTATAGTACTTTTAAATCGAATAGGAATGAGTTAGACGATCACAAATCAAAAGAAAAGAACGAGAAAAAGTTTGAATAACTCACTTTTTCATTATAAAGAATGTAATACACGTGTAGCATAAGGAGAAGCATTACCCTAAAGTTTAGAGATTAAACGAAGTCTAAAAACAGCTGAGCTACGGGCACATAAAAGCGCCAAAAATTCGTAAGCGAACACATCCCCGCGGAATTTATTCAGTAAGCTGCGTAATAACGGCTAAAGCTTCGAATTTTGAGAATTAAATAATCTATAAGGCACCTTTCAGAGATGAAACTCTTTAGGCCGATATAGTCTCAATCGAATGCGATACCAATCGATCGAGGGAAACTTTACTAAACACCTTCATTTCAGAAACCGTAATAACTATAAGTTTTTAAAACAGATAGATAATCTAAATAATCGCAATCCTTTTCAGAGGAAAATTCAATTTTTGAAGAATTCATACTTTTTGCGTTCCGGGCAATAAGGTAAGGCAGATAAGGTAGATAAGGTAGATTACTACTGGATAGATCTCTGAAAGGTGCAAGCCGTTTTAGTTTCATTCACGTTTAACATTATGAATACGCCTTTGGTTTCATTTGATCCGGCTGGTGTTAGGTTGATTTCAACAAAGATCTGTGGACATCTCTCCGAAACCAAAAAAGTGCTGCAATTGTGACAGTATAATTTGACCACAAAAGGAAAAATGAATTTCAGTAGCCTTTTGCGAATTATCCCAATCAAGACCATAATTTTTGAAAAAATATAGATTTTCCGAAATAATTTTTGTAATGTGTTATTTTAGGATAGAAACTACATACACTTATTGGTAGGTAGATTTTAATTCAATCTGCGAAACACATTTTGTATAGTGATACCTACTTAGTTTGTAAAGATTTTAAAAAATTTTTTATACATATTAAATAATTTGCATAATTCGCTTTTTTTCCTTTCAGGTCTTATCAACAAAAACTCACATCAAACAACGTGAAAACCACTGACTGATTTACTCTGCCAAAAAATATGTAAAAACCTAAGTCTTTAACAAGATTTATAACAAGAAAACTTTAAAAATTAGTTAGCAGCAAATCAAATTTACAACAAAACCAAAGTAGTTTTCTAACTTTTTTACGAAGAAAAAAGTTTTTAGTGCAAGTCATAAAAAACCTCGAAAAACAATAAAATAAATTTAAAATAAACAAGAATCAAAAATACTAAATAGTACTTTCAACAAATTGCGCAGCAATAAAAGTAGAAATTACAAAAAAACACTACCACAAATCAGTTCCACTTCATTTGACGCAACTTTTCAACGACTACCGCAACTACATAGTTACTCGTACATACAACTCGTTCAACTTTTCCGCACATCATCTGCTCTCATAAATAGGCATACCTTCACGAGCAAGCAACGTTCAATCGCCTGCAAGTGTAGCAAGGAATGCAGCGTTGTCCCTACATACATGAAATGCGAGAACGTCTACTGAACGAGCAGCCGCGTGAGTCAGTACCGTTAGAGCAAATGGAGCGCGCCAATCTACTAGACAATCGACAATCGGCTGATTCGCATCAGGTCGGCACAGTGGTCAAGGTAGGGGCTGTCTACCGTACTCGTACCAAGGATATGCAACAACAGAGTGCAACTTTTTAAAATTTTAAATCTCAATGTTTCTTAAGAAATTAACATTTAATAAAATTTTTTTAGCTTGTTCTATTTTTAATATAAATACTTTTAAATAGTTTCCTTGCTCCCGCCTTGTACAGTTTTAATTAAACCATTGTGGATTGTTTGCGTTTTGGCTGATGTTCCCAGCGTTTTACCAACTTTTTTAACGTTTTATACAGAAAAACCTACCACATAATGACATACATACATAATTATCATTGGAATATCCTTGCACGAGTATTGATTGCCCCGTTTAAGTATTTACAATTGTTTTATGAAAAATTTGATTAACAAAAATTTTGTAAAATAAATCTTAAATTATTTATATTATTTTTGCAAATTCATCACAATTTTGTGTTGATTTCGTTAAATTGGAATTGATCGTATGTGAATATATCATTGGTTGTTTAAAATTTTGATATAAATATGTTTGCTTAAAGCACAACACAAAAAAAAGAATCACAACAAACTCATGCTTATAAATACACATTCATATCGTACGCCTTGGAGGATGATAGTATTTTTTTCCTGTTAGAGCATGAATGTTTTTGGACCCAAACTGTTATATAAAAACTGAATTTTTTAATTAAAGCTGTAAAGACACAAATATATACTGTTTGTGGGCTTAAGTCAATATAACTAGAAACATTTTTTTTTACCAGTAAATGCTTATAATAAAACAAAATTCAGAACCTCAAAGGTTCATATTTCTAAAGAAAACCTGCACCGAAAGTGAAACAAGCCTATTGACTGTTTCAATCCGTACATACGAACTAGAAAACCTTAAGAATAAAGCACGTCTTCTACCTGAAAATTGTCTATAAGCCCAGCAACTAACGAAATAATTATTGAAATCTGTTATATAAACACCTTGTGTTGATGGATTGACACAACTACATTTGCGACAGCGAAAGTTAAAAGGGCTGGATAAGAAAATTTTGCACCGAACTGAATACTTGAGCGACCATTTTGAATTTCAGGATTTTATTAGAATCGAATTCACAAATTTGGGAAATATTCCACCAATAAAATATAGTTTAGTAATGTGCGGCGTTCACAATATGCTGAAAAAATACAAGTTCTTTTTTAATTTGAGCCTAGATAATCTTTTTTAAAATACGTTTCAAGTATTTAAAAAATATATATTACTACAAAATTTACTGTCCCAACCTTTTTTAAACAAAATCATTCGAAAATTTGCCATTGTAGGTATTACGGTACGAAACTCAGTTTTCGAGAAAAACGTCTTTGAACTTAACATATGAATTTGACTTGAACGTTTTTTTTTGCTAAAGTGCTGGAAGCCTCTTCCAAGTTCTCAAATGTTCAACTTGAACTTGCAATCGGCTGATTGACCATGAAATAATCAAACCATAACTTGGTTGAGAAAGCTTTTGGCTCAGTGCAATGAAAGCAAATACATGGCTAGATTTTCTGACACTGACACTCGACGCCACCCGTACATTGCTGATCAAAACATTCACCCTAGTTTCTAACGGTGGCTCTCGCGGCCGAAAATGGAAGTCTATACCTAGTCTAATGGTACGATGCCTCATTACCAGCTACTCCTGTGTAACCTGGCAGAGTTAAAAAAGTTCGAAATTTTAATAACATAATTTAAGAGATACTACTTGCATTGCCGGGCCAATGATTTGAGTTCTACCTTCATCGTGCCGCTCGTGATACTTCCATTCTGGATATTGTACCAGGTTGAAATGCTCTGTTCAATTCAAATAAGATGCCCCGACGATACTAGCCACCTCTTCTAATGCCCACTCAAACATTTGAAGAATTTTCATACGGTTTTCCTTTTATTGTAGCAAACTTCGCAGTATTATATTAAATATAAACATTTTCTAGTTTTATTTTCAATAAAATAAATATTAGAATTTTTAGTTTTTGGTTTACAAAAACAAAATTGGAACCTGATTTATACGATCGTAAAAATTCGGTTTACTCGGCATTCGAAAAATCAAGATAGAAAAAAAACGCCTAAAATATTGTTAAAAAAAGTTTGAAAAAAACGGAGTCAATCAGAATATTTAGAAACAAACACTAGGAAGGGAGATAGAAACACGCCGCCCTGAGGATAGGCCACTTGAACTACGCACATGATATGTGTACTACTGGCCTCTTTCTGACTGTGCCCTAATGACTCTCTGCACGAGCAATTTACTAGCGCAGAATCTACTTCGTGCATACAGTGCAAAAAAAAAACTATTGCGCGTGACTAGCTCATGAAACGTTTATTTAAGCATTTTAGTAAATAGTGCTTTTTCACGTCCTCCACCTTATATTAGCAGAGTCACTAAGCGTCTATATACTTGCTTGGAATTTCCTCATAGGGAATAAAAAAATGCTTTTGGTGAAGAAATTTCTTACAAATGGAAATTAAACTATAAAAGTTTCTTGCAACGAACCAGACCTTTTTGACCATGAAAACAAAATTTACACTTTTTGCAACATCAAAGCAAAAAAAAAATACCTTAAAACATTCTTATTTATAATATATTTATCTGCTTATAAACAAAATTTGCATTTCAACTTCAGCTGAGCATTTTTTATACCCAGTTTTTGCTTAGCACCCATCATTTCAATCTACAGTTTCATTGCATGCTTTCGATTCCAATTTATGTAATATGTAAACGAGCAATTGTAAACACATTCTTAGATGACTTTGTAAAAATAAAAATTAATGTTTTTTCTCGCCATACTTAAAAAGAAACACAAAATAATTTAACATAAATATTTCCTCCATCATTTTCCATTTTCTCAAATTTTAATCGCCACCACTACAACTCAACCAAATGCAAAATTGCTACGCATCGACGCCACGCATTTACGCAAACGACGACGACGTTATTCAAACTTAAATAAACTCTCAACATCATGGCCAAACATATAAAATGTGCCATAAAATAACGCATGAAATAAATTTTGAAAATTTATAACACAAATAATTTTTATATTGTGTATAAATAAAATGCGACTAAAACAACAACAACAACAATAAAATGTATAATTTACTGCGTGCTCGCATGTAGCTACACGCCGATGGCTATCACACGAGTCCAGCACATCAGCGAACGCCGTTAGTGCCGCGCGATCTGGGCGAGGATTTCAATTTGGATTTTGACGATGATTTTCCGATTGATGCGCGTCGGCCTAAAAATGCCAAGTAAGTTGATAAGTTTAATTTTACGTGTAAATAAAAAAAAAAATACTTTTGCTATGCAAAACAAAAAAAAAACAAAAAAATTACTTATGTATTGTGTTGTACCCATTTGCACAAAATTTTCTTTTCTCAATTGAAATTCGTTTTGTCGTCACAACCCAACCACAATCCATGCAAAAAAAAAATTCAACTAAAATTTCATGTGTTTGAGTGCTCCTCATGTTTAAGCGCTTGAATTCTTGCTTGTAAAATTTATTTGTTAAAATTTGTAGCAGGCTTCTTAAAACGCGAATCGGCGTTTAATTCATTGCTTGAATTGCAAATTTTTTTTTGTCTAAATTTTTACGTTAAATTGGCTAACTTTTGTAGATATGCTAAATTATATCTTCCCACTTTCACATGTCATTATTAACACTTGTGTGTGTGTTCCGCCCCACTAACACGAAAACGAAAAATTGCACACTGTCCCCCACAATTTGCTACAGATAATTTTTTATATTTATGCTTCAGATATTTTTTTTAATGAAACATATCTCTTCTTTTCTTTACTTGTTTCCTGTCCGTGTGCGCTTTTTGTTTGCGGCAAACAAAAATCACAAAAAAAAAAAAAAAAATATTTAACGAAACTGAAATATAAAAAAAATACGATATAAAATTCATTCACTCACCAAACACACAGAAACCACTCCAGCCACGCTCTGGACCCCGTTTCGAATACATCATTGAAAAGGTTCGACTCTTCATTTTTCTACAATACAAATTTTCATTTTGTTGCTTTATTGTGACTTTTTGTTGGATTTTTACTCGTAATTTAGATGAATTAAATGCATATTACTCTTTGGTTATAAACACTTACAGTGACTCAAACAAATGACCACGTGCTGTTTTTTTTTTAAATATTCGTAATATTTTTCCAGCTAAATTTTTTTTTGTAATTTTAATAAAAAGTTTTAACCAGAACCGTGTAAATCACAGTTTCAAACTTTATATGAAATTTAGGAAAATTCAAAAAATTTTCATCAAAATTTCAAATTTTTTTCTGAGTTTTTAGAAATTTTTGGGTATGCAGTTGTATAGCCCATATAATTTTAGTCTAATATTTTGATGAAAATTTGTTGAATTTTCCTAAATTTTGTATAAAGTTTGAAACTGTATATTTGTATGTAAAAATAATAAAAAAAATTAGCTCGAAAAACATTACGAATATTTGAAGAAAATCAACACGTGGTCATTTGTTTGAGTCACTGTATGTATGTATATACACTGAGAAAAGAATTTGACGAAATATGTTTCTCTCAACAAATGATTTGGTTTTAGTAAAATGATTTGGATATACATAGTTACCAACCAACCCTTTTGTTGAGAGAAATATATGTAAATATTTAGCTGACTCTTTTCCCAGTGTACATATGATTTTTTTTTGTAATTTGTTAAGCAAATATGCTATAGAAATAATCAGCACATAAATTTCATTTGGTCGAAATTGTTCTAAGGCGTCAAATTTAAAATTTGGCTTAAATAAAAGCAGAAAACAAATTAAAATTGAAGTTCGCACTTTGCTATGTTAGTTCAAATGATTTATTTGGTTTGGTTAAAATAATTTACATACATATTTTTGTATCTAAATACTAGGCCACAGGGTTGTCTGGCTTTTTGTTTTTACGCATGAAATTTATTGCACTTTCGAGTATACATTTTGTTGTTGTACTCTGGTATGAAAGGTGTCAAATTTTGTGAGGAGTTTTGAGCATGTCACTTGGAAGAGTACTTTTGCACGCCACTGTCTATTTGTTGTTCACAAAAATTGCACCAATGCACTTTGGTTTCGGGTGAAATAGCTTTTAGCAGCAATACACCCAGAATAAAAGTCACCTAAAAATATTTCGCTCAAGAATGTAAGAGAAATATGTTTAGTTGACTTTTTTTCTGGATTCAGGCATACAATGTTGTGAAATGTAGTACTTGCATAACACTGTTCGCCAATCGGCTAGGGAATTGATGTAACCAAGCCCATATAAAAGTAATTTCTCAGTTTAAACAAGTTGGCATATTTTTTCGATTAAAGTTAATGGTCACAGAGCAGCATTTAAGGCAATTAAAATTTATTTAAATGCAAATATTTATATCATCAAAGGCCCTTCTGGAGGTTTTCGGGTACGAGGAATCTAAATCTGCAATTAAGTTTTACGAAAAACTGGGGGTATTTGGTGAAAAAAAAACATGAAGAAACATTGTTTAGAAACAATTTGGGCAGTTTTTCTTCATATTTTTCTGTGTTTTTTTTTGTTTTTTTTGCATTAAAGGGCACCCTATCGAGCGTTTTTGAAAAAATAGATTGCAAATTCATATTTCTAGGACCCAGAACCCCCAGAAAGTACTTTTGAATTTAAATCACTTTTGATTCTATTTCTATTAATATACAATCCAGACTTGCAGAAAAACTTGGTTTCAGCAATTCCCAAAAAAAAAAACTGAAAATGTCGTAGAGTGTAGTTTTGTTCGATTAAAAAATAGCAATCCAAATCAGGAGCGAAAGCGAAAATCTTCTTCAAAGCGAATTGAAAACCAAAATCGTTAACGAAATACCAAAAAAATCGATTTTCTCAAAATCAGTATTTTTCTATTTTGAAAAATTTCGGCATTTTTTTGTTAATTTTAAAGGAATTTAAAATTTTCAAATTTGTAAAGAAGGAGCATCAAAAATACTACTGCGCCCAACAGAATGTATATATGACACAAAATACTGAGCCTTCTTATTTTCAGAAAAAAAAATCTTACGACTTTCGTGCCGTTTTAGCGAGCATCAAACCAATTTGAAAAAGGTCTTCTTTTTATGCAGTAATCACAAACAAATTTTCAAGAAAATAAAATATTATTATGTTTTTGAGAAAGTTGACTTTTTTGATTTTTCCAAAAGTGTTAATTTTCCAATTTTCAAGTATGCAAATATAAATATAATAGAATCAGCCGAAATAATAATTTTGTTATTAACTACAAGTAGTTGAAAATATTTCTTTCCTAATCAACTTCTAAAAAAAAAGGAAGTCATTAATTTCTCCGATTATTTATATATAAATATACTACCAGATAACTTTGGACCAAGTGAAGCGTTCTTATTTTTTTTATTGGAAAGGTGGTACTTCAAGAAACTAACAGTAATCCTAAATTTTTAATTTATTTTCAACTACTAATTTTTGAGACTATCCGCTTTATTCCGACGGGGATACGTACACATGTAAAAGTACAGTAAAAATAGTTTGTCATTTTTGGTATGTAGTTTAAAGTATGTATATGTAAATGTATATCTAAGTACAAACTCGTACTCAGAAATGGTCGCTTTGAAATTGTTTCTTTACCTTTCGAGTGTACGTTGTGGGATTTTTTGAAGTATTTTCTTTCTGCCATTTAAATACGGGTGGGTACTGTCAATATTTGCCAACATCGCCTTTGTTGTCTGCGGAAATGTTAAATGCATATCGATGCGAAACTAATTTGATAAACAAGGATGAATGTTTCCCTGTAGCGAAGTTTACAACTTAGAACTAGTGAGCACCTGATGAATTGGCACTAAGAATGTTAAGGTCCCAAAAATCCCGGGATTCTTGGCAAATAATCCGGGGATTTTCGGGATTGTAATTTGCACTGATGGCAATAATAAAAACTTCCTTTGACCAGTGTCGGCTATATTTATTTACTTTATTTAATAATTAAATTTTTTTTATAAATGTCTAGCTCATTATACATATATAACACCGTGCGATAGTAAATTTTACACACAAAAATCAATATATACGCGAAACCATGGGCCAAATATAGTAAAATTGCGTTTTTAGTTTTTCACTCTGACGTCGGTAATTCAAAAATGATTTAAAAAATTCAGAGAAATGTGCTTAGAGAAGAAGTCTGGGTATCAAATTAAAGCAGAAAGTCTCTAGAATTTAAAGAGATTCAAGGTTTTGGTGAAGAAAGACTGGTTAGAATTGAAAATGTCCTTTTAAAATTTTATCCTTGAAATTTCGCAATATAGGTTTTTGAAAATATTATATTTTAAGGGCTTATATAAACTCAATAACATCCTCGAATTTCGTCGTTCTAACTTCATCAGTCTAAAAAATTACCCATTGTGAATCCAAAAAATTTAAATTTTTTTAAATGCTAAAGAAATTCCTCTTGCTTTGGCGCCCATATTTTTCTTCTACATTGCATTGAATTTTTTTTTTTAACAATGTTTGGAATTAATCATATCTTTGAAATTTACAAAAAATAAAAACGCCACTTTAAATAAAAAAGTAGGTTTCAAGCCCATTTTTATTTCTTATTTATTTTATGGTAGGAGAGCTTCTCAAACAATATAGAAGAAATTTTTTCCGATTTAAGTTGTTGAAAAGTAATGGTTATCTAAATCCCGGGATTGTGATAACGACATCCCTAAAATCCCGGGATCGGAAAAGGCTGAAAAATTAACATCCCCAATTGGCACATAACTACGAATAATTTGCTTTATTTTTCGTTATCAAACAACTGCTGAAGGTGTAGTAAACCAGTTTTCTTACTTTCCATAGAAAATAATCGCTTGCAGTTGTGGCCTCTACGTTATTGAGATACAGCTGAAGTTGAGAGTTTCAGTTTTTTTGCAAGAATTCTGTGAGTTCAGTGACGATCAAAACACAGAATTCCGAAAATGGTTTTCATAGATTTCTGCATAAAGCAAAGCAGTTAGAAAAATTTGGATTTTAAAATACCTGATTCCTTTCTGTCAGGAAATATGTATATCTAAATGCAAACGCATTAACCAAGTAATTAAGTACCAATCGCATGCGATTCATATGATATTGAGTAGTTTCGTCATTTTACATGGATTAGAATGGAAGTCAGTGAAAGATGCTGCTATGATACTTATTGCGCTGTCTGCGTTTAAATTCCATTTTTTATTTCAAATTGCAGTGAAATCCGATGATTACATAAAAATATGAAGCTACTCTTCCACATAAGTACAAAAATCA